GGATGTTGGGACATCATCACAGAACTGACCTCACCTGAGAGGACAAGGTTTCAACTCACCTGACTCTGTTACATCAGGTTCTTAAAGATCCACAGATACAAAGCCTGACATCTTTTAAGGCTCACGTTTTGCAAAGTTTATGTAACTCTGTATATTCTCTCCTTGTTTAAAAAAAAAAGAATGTTTAAGGCATCTTCCTTTAAACAGTAGCAGTAAAATAACTTCGGTGATCAAAACTACTATAACAAATCACCATGTGTAGAAAGGAGTAAAAACTTGTATTTGTATTGATCTTGTACATAGATCTGGTTTTATTGAAAGTGTTTTCAGTCTGTTAGAGGCTGCTCAGTAGAAAAGCACAAATCTTGAATACTGCTGAAATTCCAGTGTGCCTAAGTCCCATGGAATGCCACATTTTCAATTACATTTTCCGTGTGGCATTACACAGAACACAGAAAATGAGATAATCAACTTGAGAAAGAAGGTAGATTGGGAACTCTTTAGTGTTTGAAGGGGAAAATCCAAGAGAAGCGGAGTTTAGTATTTGTGCTGCAGTGGAAAGCAGCAGTAGTGTTGCTACAGGCTACATGAATCACAGCAACCACAGAACAGCTCCTGTGAATAAAATGGTGAAGATGCCAACTTAGAGGCTAAAGCAAACCTGTCACAAGCAGCTCATAAATTAGTTGCACACATCATTATCTTCCCGGAAGCTTTTTCTGACTACACTACCAGAAACAAAGCCCAGAACATGAGTTTTCCATGTCAAGAAAGTGCTGTAAAGATTTGATCAAGGTGACTTCAGCTGATACAGGGTCATACCAGAAAAACAAAAACCGTGTTCAGGCCTAGTGATGCTTGAACCCCATTATCAATTTTTCTTCAGGAGGATCTGACCCACTAAATATTTTGCCTGACATCTAGTCTGCCTGTGAGTTGTAAAGATGCTGAAAACCAGACTTTGATCTCATTCCTAAGAGGCCTGTGGGAGCAAAGCAGTTCTTCTCGATCATTCCTGGCTCACCTGACCACATAATGGGCTGATGAGGCATTTAATAGATCACCTGTTATATTTTGTGAGGCCTTTGATAAACACGTGGGTACCTTGACTTTTATTGCTTTTCTGAACATGGCGTGGAACTGGCTGGCCAAGAAGAGGCAATGCCTGAAGACATTGCCAAGTACCTCTCAGCCTCTGCTGCCACCAGGAGGTGACACTCACACGTTCCACAGTGAACACAAAAATCCATGGTCATGTCTCTTCCAAAGGAACTGTTCTGCCAGAAGCAGGGACAGTAGAAGGCCTCTGAGTTCCCTCTCTGCCTGCTCCTTGTCTTGGGTCATCCTTGTCCCTCTCTCCATGGTCCTACTTGAACAATCCCCAGGTGGAAAACAGGGAATTCTGTGCTTAGCTCAGGAATTTGTGTGTGGATAGCACATAGCTTATTACAGATGTTCTAATAATAATGAGAGAGAGAGTAAGAGAGAGATTTCTAGGAAGGAGAGATTTCTGGAAGGAAATTTTCTAGTCATGTATTACACAACAAATCATACTGATTTTCTTCAAGAAAAATGCTTGGTCAGTGGCATTACAATAAATATACTTATCTTCAGTTCCTCAATATATTTAATTTTTCAGTGTGTTCTCCCAACTTTGCAAACCCAGCTGCATGAATCGTTTTGGGGTTTTTTCTTAAATACAGATCTGAAAGTCTGGTTAAATTGACATTTCTAGCATTTCAGTAACTGTGATGCTACAGCGTTCCCCCATGTACTTCTTTCATTATCAGGTTAAAGGAAGTTGGTTTCCAAAGTGATTTTGTGGTTCTTGGACCCAGAAGTTACCAGTAGTTTGGGCAGTTTGATGCCAGCTGCTGCTGCTGCCTGCTCACTGCAGACACTGTGAGTACACATGATGTGATGGGAATCATGGAATCATGGAATGGTTTGGGTTGGAAGGGACCTTAAAGATCACTTAGTTCCAACCCTCTGCCATGGGCAGAGATGCCACCCACTAGGTCAGGTTGCCTGGGAACAAAGGAGGCTACTAACTTCACTGTTCTCTCTGGAGCATTTCAATTCAAAGCTCTTTTAATTTAATATAGAGGCATTCCTTACTTTTCACACGTAGGATTTACTTGTGATTCCCCTTAACATCTATATTCAGCTGTGAGTAAAGTCAATTTTTGTCTATGCCTGAAAATATTGCACAAATCCCTATTCAGAATTGTTAGAGATAATGGATACTCAGTGGGGCATTTCCAGAGGTGTTACCAGTGCGAATGGCCTAATCTGGGCAAAGTGGTGTTTGACAGTGGCTGCTGCCTCCAGGACTGCTTGGAATCACAGCTGTAATAAGTGCCCAGTCACCACATCCCTAATGAGAAGCCAGAGCTCACCCTCCCGAGCAACTCCACCTCGACAAAGCAGGGAGGGAAGGGTCTGTCCAAAGGGCTTGGAAGCATTTAGCCAGAAAAGCTCTGGTGGCCTGGAATCAGAGCTGGAAAATCTGCATTTCCATTGACATGCATTTCCCTAACAATACTGTGCAGAGGTACAGGTCATGTAAAGTGGGGACCATGACAGATATAAACTGTAATTAACTGTAAAAAAATTCAGGGAATCTGGGTTAGAAGTGACTAGACAGAGTGGTAGAATAAAAAGTCTGGAGTTTCTTGCATAGGAATCGAGATTTCCTATAAAGTTAATGTAGTTTTGGAAAAGGCAAAATTGCTGGCAAAGCAGAGCCTTGAAAGGTTTATGAACAGCAAAAAAACACATCTCAAAGGAGGAGGCAATTTATACTATTTGTTTATTTTGATTTGTAACATTCCCTACTTTTGTTGGGTTTTTTTTGCTATGCTTTACACTTCTTAAGGAAAAGAACTAATCATATGACCATAAGAGGGCACAAGTCTTTTTTACACCAGAGATTTGAGTACACTGTGGGTCACCAGCCATTTCATGCTCTGGGAACCTCTTAGAGTGACAGCCAAATGATATCAAGACCTGGTTTTTTGCATGCACAGTGATGGCAATCACAAGTAGGAGGTCACAAATAGTCAAGAGGGTTTAGGTCTGGTTAGTCCTAACCAGAGGCAGAGAAAATGGACTGGATGAGCTTGCTGGAACACCTTTCCTTCCTGCAGGGCTTGAGCTCTTAATTGCCCCCAGGCAGCCAGAACAGACAGATGGTTTGTTAGCAGTGGTGGATCCTGGTGGCTTGGACACCTGAGACTGCTGATCCACTGGCCAGAAAGGAAGGCAGCTGTGGATGTACAGTGAGGGGCTAAAACAACCCCATCTTTTGTAACTCTAATTTAAATTAGAGATAAAAAGTTACTTTAATTAGCCTGCAAGTAAACACATTCGTACAGCAGTTATGACTTCCAAACCAGTGACCTGAGGTGAACCTCATGTTCTGTTAATAGCTCTGCAAATCATTGAGAAGACACTGAGCACCTCCTCTTCTGTGTGGAAAGACAACTCAGGTTGCTTCAGCTGGCTGAGGCCTGCTCTTGTGGGTCTCACACCTCCATTCCCTGAAAATCTGGAAGTGGGGGAGGTTTTTGCAAGAGATGGGTGTCCCATGAACCCCCTCCTTGCAGCCAGCCCAGAGGAGATGAGATACCACCCTCAGCCACTGACACACAACACAGGGTACTGTCAATGTCCACACAGATGGGCAACCAGTCCACAAAGCAGACACTGCTTCACCCAAGTACAATTAAACACAATTAAACGGGGAATAATTTAAAAAAAACCTTTTTATTTAGACCAACACAAGAAGAGCTAGATAGGATTTATGAGCTAAGTTTTTTGGTCGGAGAGCCAATGTGTACTTTAAAGCATCATCAGAGACCAAGAAGATACAGTCTTGAACACCATGTTGTAATAATTTGTAAAACTGCATGAGACAGATTTTTTTAAACCAATTACTTCCCGTCCATTCAGAGACAGATAAGCCCCCAGCTAAAATTCCTTTTCATTCCAGTGCTTGTAAAGATGAAGATGAAATGTGATTTTCCTTCTAACAAATGCTCCAAAAAGCAAAACCAGAAAAAGCACTTGTTTCTCTGTTATGGAAAATAGGTCTCGGCATGCTGCAAATTCTGTGTTTTACTTACTTTCTACCACAAATGCCCCCTCATTAAAGAAATGAATACTGTAATCATTTTCTCAGATTTATGTTTTCTTTTCTGCCTCATTTGGCACTAATGCTGTGTTATTACAAGAACAACTGTTCGCTGCAAAAAGAATGATCTTTAGACTTCTCATCCAAGACCTTTGAAGTCACTGGGAATGAACTGCAAAGAAAGGCAGGGAGGCCGTGGACATGAGCAGCAGTTGAATCCTTTCCCACTGACCAGGCAGATTTTCTTCTTGTTGCCTGATGACACAGAGCTGCAGTTTCCTCCCCCTTCTCAGACAAAAACTCTCCTCCAGGTAGAGGCTTGCAGTTTTCAGAAACAGTAATAAAACGTGGGTCAAACAGGGTGCAAACAAGTCCCACGAGCAAATTCAGAGCCTGGGAACATCTTCACTGATGAGCGTCCCTGGGATTTGAAACGGCCATGTGCACCATCATCAGGATCAGGATCACAGCAGTGGTAACGAGTGCCACAGCTCCCGAGCCCTCGAGGGTTGAGACATGTGCTGGCAAGCCAAACGGCTTTAACAATGAACTTGGAGAAGAATCTGGAGGGAATTAGTGTCAGGCATGTGTAAAGAGGGTTACTTTTCCCATCTCCAACACCTATAATTACATCTCAAACGTGCTAATAAAATCCAGTGGTTACAGTGGTTTTTTTTTTTCCTCTGTGTCAAAGTTAAGCATGCTGCCGTGACGCCTAAGGAAAAAAAAATCAACTTTCTTACACTTCCAATCGCCATGCAATCACCAGAAGCGATGACGGCTGGCTCAGAAGGGCCGAGGTGCGCTCCTGGCTCCCGGGGGCTGGGCTCGGGAGCGGCCCGCCGCCCCCCCCGCCCTGCTCCGCTCAGAGGTGCGGGGCGTAGAAGGGGCCGAGGTACGCGGGGCCGAGGAAAGGGGCGAAGGGGCCGGCGCCCAGCGGGAAGGGGGCGGCCGGCGGCACCAGGACGTTGGCGGCGGCGTAAGAAGGGAAAGTCTGGAAGGGCAGGGCGGCGGGGCCCGGCGGGCTGGGGCTGCCGCCTCCCCCCGCCGCCGCGGGGGATGCTGCGGGGGCCGCGCCGTCGGCGCCCGGGTGCTGCTTCTTCCACTTGGTGCGGCGGTTCTGGAACCAGATCTTCACCTGCGTCTCGGTGAGGCTGAGGGACAGCGCCAGGCTGAGGCGCTCGCAGACCGACAGGTACCGCGTGGCTCGGAACTTGTTCTCCAGGGCCACCAGCTGCTCGTAGGTGAAGGCGGTGCGCGCCCGCCGCGGTTTCCCGCAGCCCGGCTCCGCCCGCCGCCGACGGGCGCCCCGCGGCGAGCCCGGCTCCTCCGGCCCGGGAGAGGGCCCGCTCCCGGTCCCGTCCCCGCTCGGGTCCTCCTCGTCGCGGTCCTGCCCCGCGTCCTCGGCGCCGCTCTCCGCCGGGCCGTGCGGACCTAGGCGAGATGGCAGCGCTCGTCAGAGGGAGCGCACCCTCCTCCCGTCACCCCTCCCCGCTCCGAACCCCGGGCTTCTTCTCCGCCATTCCCCCCCCCCCCCCCCCCATCCAGCGTGGAAATATAAGGGCAATCATTAAAAATAAAATAAAAGGGAGAAAAACCCTGCCCGCCGTGCGAGAGGAGCCCCCCCGCGCTCCACCCCCCCACCGCTGTGCCACCGCATCCGCGGCGGGGAGGGGTGAGGCGTCGATATGGATTTCTTACCAATTAAAAAAGAAGTTATTAAAGTCCCCTTCTGAAGCGAAATAAATCCCCTCCCCCCTCCCCATCCCCGCGCTAATGGAGTTTCAGATTTGCGAGGGCCAGATCGATAGATGTCATCTATTAAAGGTAAGTTTTAATCGAACAATATTAGGATCAGGCCGGGGGAAGGAGGTTTGAAGTGGGCACCTGCAAGCTGCGGGCAGGAGATAGGCGGGAGTCGGTAATAGGATATCGATCACCAGGAGCTAAGGCATCCTCCGGTGGGGACGGGCTGAGCAATTACCCAGCCGGCCGTCCCGCGGGCCGGGGCAGCCGACCACTCCCGCCCCGGGGAAGGGGTGCGCCCGGGGGCCGCCCTTCCTCGTGGACAAAAAAAACCCCACACAACCAAAACAAAAACGTGCAGTGCCCCAGTAAGAGCCGCGGTCCGTCCGGAGCCGGCACGGGGCGGCGGCGGCGCGCCCTGGGATGCGCCGTCCTTGTCGGGCGGTAGAGGATGCCCCGCACGCCAGGAGCCGTGGAGGACACACGGATACTGAGAACTTTTCCCTTTGCATCATCGAGACTAAAAATCCAGTTCCAGCCCCCCCTTCCCTCGCTCCTGCGGGAGCCCCGCCGGGCGCGGGGGCCGGGGGTCCCCTCTGCCGGCGCCTCCACCTGCGCGCCCCGCCAGCGCCGGACGGAGAAACTCGAGCGCGTTCCTACCATGTGCTTCTAGTTTATTCCTCCCGCTGCCGGGAGCAGCAGCGTCCTTTCCTACTTCAACTCTTCCCAAACTTTTCTCCCGCTCGCCCGAGCGGGGGGCGCTGCCCCAGCTCCCCGCGGCCGGTTCGCGTCTCCTGCTGAATTTCTGGGGATCCAGGATGTCTAAGATGGAGAAGGAGATTTTATGATGGATGGGGGCCGCCTTGGCCCCGCGGTCCGGGCATTCCGGCATCCCACCCCACCCTCCGCGCCTCCCGGAGACCTGCTGGCTCCCAGCGCTGCCGGGCGCGGAGCGGGGCCGCTCCCGAGCCGCAGCCTCGGCGCTGGCGGCGCGGAGTGAGCGGCGGGAGGAGGGTCGGGCGGGGAGGCGGAGGGGCCGGCGGCGGGGTGGGGGCAGAGGAGGGGGCAGCGCAGCCATTGGCACGCCGCCCCCGCGCCCCCTCCCCGCCGCGCTGGCTCCGCGGGGGCGCAGCGAGCGCCTCCCTCCATCCCAACCTCCCGGCGACGGGGTTTTCCCATCACCTGCCCCGGGATGAGAAGGGGGGGGAACGCGCAGCGAGGTGGGCCAGGGGCGGCCAGGAGCCCGCCGGGTCTTCCGCCAGCGCAGGGATGCGGCTGCACTCGCAGCCCGCCGGCAGCTGCCCACCCCCGGGTGTGGAGAGCCCCTCGGCTGCTCCTGTCCCCCCACCGTCAGCTGACACACCTGCAGCTCCCCGCTCAGTGCCGGCCCAGCGGGGTGACCCTCGTGTTCAGAGGGACCCAGAGAGAAGGGATGGCTCCTGCATCCCTTTGCTGCGCCGGATGGGCTCCGGGCTCTAAGCGCTCCCTCTTCCAGCGGCCACTCTGAGATGTGAAACTACTGCGTGGTCCACAGGGAGAAATGAGCAGCTTTTCGTTTCGGGGCAGCTTAGGATCAGTCTGGTTCAGACTTTGGGCCAAGCTCCTGCAATTCAGCCGTGGTGCTCACAACAATTCTCAGTGAGTAGGCAGGGAAACTGAGGCTTACCTGTGTTGGAGGAGTTCCTACCCCACTGAGCAGCCCCCCAGACTAACCCTCCTTGCTGTGGGGGGAAGGACTTTGTTGTCTGTTCATACTTATAGCACAGGGTAGGTGACAGCAGGCCAAGCCTCTCTGCACCACCTTGCACCAGCCCCATGATCGCTTCTAGCCAGCCCTGCTTATTAAAAACACGCTAGTAGCATTTTTCTGTTCAGGGGGATGCTTTTCCCTCTCCTTAGCATTTCAGCATTTGTTGGTACCACAAATCACCAGATGGATGAAGGGAAAGGCACCCTTCAGCCAGGGAAGACAACCCTCAGTAGGAATCTGCTACTCCACCTGCTTTTATACCTAGGGAAAGATGCAGAACACAGCCCTCTTCCTCTTCAGAGGTGCCTCATCAGAACTGGGCTTACACATTAATCTCAGTGCTATTGCAAAGGCCTTAAGATAGGCCTTAAGATAACAGGAGAGCAAGAAGATGAGATGATGATGTGCAGGGTGATGTGATTACGAGTAGCTGTCATTGTTAATTATGTGCTGGCAGCATCCAACAGCCCATTTGGCCTCTGGGATGGGATACCACAGGTGTGTAGAAGCAAAGGGAGCTCTGGCCTGAGGAGTTCACACTCAGAAGCTACAGGTGGATAAAGCTTGGTTTTGGGGAATGCAGGTGGTGAAGAAGTGAAAAAAAATTCATCTATTTGAGACCACAAATACTTCTGTTAGAGTAGTTGGGTCTGCAGGCGCTGAGAAGGTAAATTGTAGCACTGAGATTATTTCGTGAGCTAGTAGACATCTTCAAATATCATCCATTTAACACCTGTATGCACAGCAACCTGCAAACACACACACACACACGTGTGGAAAGGCACACGTGAAGAAGCACACACTCAGGGATTAGTTTTAGCACTCTGAAGTTGGTCCGTTTCCCAGCTCAAGCATTAAAATTCAACCCGAGTGCTGTCTTCAAATTGCTTTGATGCTAGGTGGGTTTCAACCCTGACCTGTCCTGACGGCAAGTGATGGCTGTAACAAGCTGTGGATCAATATTCATAGCGGGTGTCCTGGACTGATAACACTATCCAAGACAATGTTCACTATCGGTGCAGACAGCTGAGATATTGCGCCATTAGTAATGTTGTTTTAAATAACCTGATCCATTTCTGGGTCTGTTTAATGAATTTCACAGTTTAGATATAATCTTTAAGGAGAAGCCAGAGGCTATTCCAGAAGCGGTGATGCAAATCAATGCTGCCAAGGCTCCTCTGCTTTCCTTAAAACAAAATGGACTATAATTCCACCTCAGCTCCTTATATATTCTGGGAGTCGTGGCGTGCTATTGATGGTATTAGCAATGAGAAGGTATTTGAGAGAAAACAGTGTTATCTGCAAAGTTGGAACACATCTGATAAAATCTTATCTGTGATGCAAAATTCTTTATATGACGAGTCAGTGGTGTTTTTTTTTCTTGGTAGTCATATGAATCATAGAATGGCTCGGGTTGAAAGGAACCTTAAAAATCATCTCGTTTCACCCCCATGCCAGGGATGCTAGACCCACTCGACCAGGTTGCTCCAAGCCTCATCCAGGCTTTAGCGCTCCCAGGGACGAGGCAGCCGCAGTTTCTCTGTTGGAAGCGGAGCTGCTGCGGGGCGGAGCGGAGCCCGGGACTGCATTTCCCGGCAGCGCCCGGCGCGGGGCCGTGCGGGCGGCGATGGCGGGCTGGGCTCGGGCCGTGCGGGGGCTGCTGCTGGATGTCAGCGGGGTCCTCTACGACAGCGGCGCCGACGGCGGGGTCCCCATCGCCGGCTCGGCCGAGGCCGTGCGCAGGTGGGTGCGCGGCCCGGGACCCCCCTCCGGCCGGGCACGGGGCGAGGGGACCGCCCGCGATGGGTAGGGGCACCCCCGCGCTGGGTTCGGCACCCCCGGGTGGGCGGTGGTCACCTCCTAAAGGGCATTTAACTCCACCGCGTGGAGTGTGACCTCGCAGTGCAGCCCCCGGTGCGCCGCGTGAAGTCCCGGCCAGGACAGCAAACGGGAACTTTTGGGGTCGCCTTGGTGTTTTTTTAGGATTATTGAAGGTAAGGGGAGCCCGCAGACCCCGGGCTGTTGGGGAAAGGAGCGTGGAGCAGCGTGGCAGATCACATCGTGCTCGGGTTTGTATTTAGTGTCGTCAGCGCACACGCAGCAGGGGCGGGTGATACAGGAGAGGTCTGAGATTATCCCCGGTAGTCATTTTTAAAATACTGCACGCACTGGCGTGGTACTTCTGCAAATTGATTAACTTTGCTCTCAAATTAGCTGAGACTTCTCGCAGAAAACTTGCAACCCAGCAGACATGGAGAATTTCCGTGCTGGGTTAATGATTGCCCAGCTTGGAAGTGACTCGAAAGCCAAGTGTTGTTGGGATGAGTCAATCCCCGTGCCCCCAGGTAGGGACTTCTTTCCCTTTTAGCTGGGTGATGCAATCCATGTCACACAAGCCAAGTAAATTTGATTTAAGTAACTTGAATTAATTAGGTTGACTTGCCAAGTGTGTCTATACCAGCCCTGCTGGACCAGAGGAGCAGGATGGGGCCAGTGACTACAACTTCATTTAAAGACAAGTATTGATTGGTGTGTCTCCCTGCTGGATGAGGTCGTGGGTTTGTATAAGAGGCTTTTGGCTCTACATTGATGTTTCACTAACCCACTGCAGAAAATCCAGGTGTTTCAAGTGGCAAGTGCTGGAAAGGGCTTGGATCAACCTGGTCTAGTGGAAGGTGTCCCTGCCCAAGGCAGGAGGGGGAACTAGATGGACTTTAAGGTCCCTCCCAGCCCACACCATTCTGTAATTCTGTGCTGCTGTGTGTACCCCCTTTGAAATGTTTTAAAAGTCTAAATTCTGAACCCTGAAAGGCTGACAGCTTGGTGAGCACCTCTGCAGTTTCTGTCATCTGGGGCCACTCAGCACACACAGAGTTGTGATGAGTGCATTATTGAGCAGGGAAATAAGCAGGAAGAAATACTGAAATCAGTAAAATTAATCATATGAGGTTAGTTAAATATGTGCCTAAATGTTTGTGGAACCAACTGGAAAATTGGAGAAGGTCCAAATGTACTAGCAATAACAGAAGTCTTCACTGCTTTTTTTAATAATTATGTCTTTGTTCATACTTCTTGAAACACATGTAGCAGGCACAGAAAGTGTCATCAGATGAAGCTTTTGTTTTCATCTCCAGGATCAGAGTTACCAGTGCTGTCAGAGAGCAGTGTTTGAAGCAAGTTTAAGGCTTATGGAGGCTCGTGACCTGTTTGTGATGCTCAGCTGGCTGGTGGGAGCTGCAGGTGCCAGGACAGCCAGTGGGAGAGCAGCACTTCAAGGGAATTCAGTGATATTGGGCAGATAGAAAAGTTGCTCCTATAAAGACATTGTATGGGAGTGCTGTGGCACCTGGATCTTTCAAGGAGTTGCATGTGTGCAGTGCTTAGCATGGAACAGCCCAGATCATAGCCAAGGCCTCCAGGCATGGCCAAATCAAGCATAAATAGCAACAACTGCATAATTACTGACAGAGATCAGATCATTCCTTTAAAATTCAGGACATAGTCAATAATACCTGTGTTGTGGTTCACTGGATGCTTTTGACATACTGTTTTTTCCTCCTAGGTTTTTGAGCATCATTTTCTGTCGGGTTGCAGGCTGTCATTTAATAACCTTTGTCACTGCCTTTGCTGAACCCTCTTGCATGGAGGCAATGTAAACTGCAGTTTAACTTACAGCAATATCAGAAATATGCTGATGAAACAACAGTAAAACTCTGGCCTTGGGCTAAAGAAATTATGGAGTTTCTCTGGAAATACTGGAAATGTCTAAGGCCTTGTTCCTCGTTATTTGCAAAAACCCCTCAGCAGCTAATCTGACCTGTCTGCCTGTCTGGAAGGTTTTGGGGGGGTCTTTGAGGCAGGTTGGGAGATGCAATCCAGCAGCAGGCTCTGGAGAGCTGCACTGGGAAAGCTGGTCTCATTTGGTCAGGATTTGGTAAGCAATGGAGAAGCAGCAGTCATAGCTGTGGGAATTGGGGACAGCAGAGTGGAATTGGGGACAGCAGAGTGGAATTGGGGACAGCAGAATGGAAAAGTGACAGGAAGGAAAAAAAAAACCAAACCCAAACCACTTTGTTCAGGTCATTCAATGTAACTGGTTAAGAATAATCATTTTCCTTGGGTAAAGTCAAGTAGCCTTATTTATCTGCCTATTAGGTTGGTAATTGTTCTAGCTCACACCATTTAAAATCTTTATTGACTCATTATCCTATTGCCAGTTGGTCATTAATATTTGTGTCTGCGTCACAGTACAGCTCAGTGGTTTCGAGCAGATGGATTAAAGCTAAAAGGAGCTCTTTTTTAATTAATTCCTTTTTTTTCTGTATCAATTAAAAAGTCATAATTGCAGATAGCTAGGAACTTGATAACTTATTCAAATTGACATGGTCTTTTGCTAGAAGAGCTGTCTAAAATCTTTCAGTGCATATAT